GCAGAGTGTGCAGTGGCTCACTGGGTGCTAGGGTGCATGGGCTTATTTCAGTGTGGTGACAGACGTCTGTTTTCTGGTCCCATGTGGCATGGGGGCCAGGAGATAAAAAGGGGCAGGAACTGGCAGCTGATTGTCATTCCCCGTGGAAAGCCCTAGAGGGGCCAGGTGAGGTCCTACATGTCTGACCTCCTGGGACATTGTCACGTGGACATCCCTCGCGTGCCCCAAACCCTCACCTTCTTTTCCCAGGTCCGCCGCTCACCGCTGTGCCCGTCTGAGCGCCCACTGTCTCCACTGGCCCAGACACCACCTCCCGCACCTCCCCATCTGCCCATATGCTATGTGCTGTCCTTTTTGTTCCTTGCACCCCCGCCCCCAAGCCAGCCACAGTTCAGCCGCCCACCAAGTCCATGCTGGAAGCCACAGTGTAAAGACAAATGAAAGCCCCGACCTTAAATACGGAGTTGTCTAACGTGATAAGCCAGCCTCTCCACAGGGCTGCGGGGAGGTGCAGAGGTCTTGTGCAGGGCAGGTCTGCACGTGACCCTGGAGATGTGGCACAGCGCCGAGACATGAGCGGAGGAAGGGATTGTCCCAAACGCTTGCCACGCGGAGGCACAGCCTCCAGCGCTGGGGAAGGCAGCACAGCACTCAGACTCCACTGAGGCACAGGGAAGCAAGGAGCGGTTGAGCAGACAGGGACTTGTGTTGTGGAAAGCTCATCGGACCGTGGGTATGGACTGCACCCGTGGAGAGACCCTGCTGTGGAGCACTGAGGCAGCCCGAGCAGGGGTGGGAGGGGCCGATGGAGCAGGCTCAGCCCCGGAAGTCCTAGCAAGGGCCATCTAGCCAGAAGGTGTCCACTGCAAGGATCTGAGCCCTGCGAGAGCAAACTGCTCTGTCCATGCGGCAGCACGGGGAGGGTGCAGGGCCCTGGCTCTCCTGTCCACTCGTCCTTGGTGCCCTCCTCCCAAGCCAGCAAGCTCCCAGTCAGTCTGAAAACCCCATTTCAGGTGCAAGAATGAACACTGTGTGGTGGCCAGTCGACTGAGGTTGAGTGGCGTCAAAAATGCTGGTGGGATGACCTACAAGGAAGGATAGCCGTGTTTCCAGGGCTGAGAGAGGAAAGAGAATTTGATCCAATGAAAGCCTTTCCATTTCATAAACTGTAGAAATGTAAATAATGCTGCAACCTCTAGGAGTAAATAATGGCTTTCCAAAATCCTGTGCTCCAAGGATGATGTTACCGGTAATCTAACTGTGGGCAAGTTGGCCTCCGCGCGACTTCGTTTTCTCATCTGTACCATGGGCAGCAACAGCACCTCCCACGGGTCCTACTAAGCAGTGAAAGGTGCCCTCATGTGCAGGACTTCTTCCGCGAAGAAAGTGCTCAGTGTGCATTTGCTCTTATTGTTGCAACAGGATGTACAATATTGGTATAAGCAGGATTTGGAGGTCAGAGGGTACAGACGTGAGTGCCTGCTTCTCCACGCCCCTGCCCACGCCCGGAGGTATTTTCTGTTCCATACTCACTCAGCACATGAGTGCACAGCTGTGTGCTCCTGCCTCAGTTGTCCTCCCGCGCTGGATGGGTATGAGGCTGGGGTCCCTGCGGAGGGAAATGCAGGACAGCTCTCAGGAAGTGGGGAGTACTAAGTGGAGGTGAAGCAGTCAAGAATGGCACTCTCAAGACAGAGAATGCACCTAGTGAGCAGGACAGGGGCCTGGCCCTGAGCCTGGGACCCTCATCACTGCCCCCCATGCTCTATCTGCTGTCTGATTTTTGAGGTTACCTATGTTCCATTCAGCCTAAGTACTCACCTCCTGAGCCAGCAAGCTCCTATGCAGCCTACAAAGCCCATTTCAGCTCACATGAACACCCTTCATGCCCCAGCCACAGAGGCTTTCCCTGGCCCCTGCCTTGGGCACAGAAGCCCAGCGATGTGCAGCAGCTATGATAACTTGAGAGCATCGTCCAGCAGGCAGGTGCCAGCAAAGGGCTCAGTGGAGCTAAGCCAGCAATAGTTTATTCTTGCAGTGCTTCATAAGCTACTGTTCTGTTATTCGTGGTTCCCAGAGAACCACAATAGTAATAATAATCGGAATCTCACAAGTGGGAACACTGGGGCTTGGAGAAAGGAAATGAACTGCCCAAGTCCGTACACCCAGAGGCATCATGGGGTGCCCAGCCAGGCTCGGGGGGTGGCGAGCCCACTCTAGGAGCAGCTCTTCCTGTCCTGGCCATCTTTTCTCCTCCAGGGCGGGAGGTAAGGACCCGCCTTGACCCTCACTCTTGAGCTGTAGGGCACGCAGCTGCCTGCCAGGTATCTCCCAGGCCAAGCCCGGGGTGGAGGGAGAAAGTGCCAGTGCAGGGCTCCCGCAGCTGGAGTTGCCCCCCTCCCCTCTCCCCATGTACACACCTTGCCCCTAATATGGCGGGCCTGGCCTCTAACTGCCTTTGTCCTCCTAGGCATAGCTCCCCAGCAGTACAGGACTAGCACAGGGCCCCTGACTTCCACGTCACCCCAGGGAGAGAGCAAAGAAGAGCCAGATCCAAGGTGGCCAGGACAGGGCCATGCTCCCTGCCAAAGTGTGGAGGAGCCCCAAGCTCCTGGTGTTGGGCATGCTGGCCTGGGAACTGAGCCGTGGTCTGATGAGACACTGCAGCCCTGAGAGCCACTGGATGACACAGACCTCCCTGCACTGGTGGTCGGAGCAGGGCTGAGGTCAGCTTGCCAGGCATGGAGGGTAGGCGAGCACAGTGCACACGGCCTAAGCCTGGGCAAGGAGTGGCAAGCCTGCCGGGAAGAGCCACCAAAGGGGTCTGGAAGCCACGAGGTGCAGGTTGGAGGCTGCGGGGATCGTGAAGGCCAGTGGAGGGAAGGGGACAGAGAAGTCAGGATGCGGGCAGGAGGAGCCCCAGCTCCCTGTGCCAGCGCCCGCTGCCCTGCTGTCCTGGGACCCAGCCTGTCTGCTGCCTGGTGACTTTGTGACCAGGGGGAGGCGGCTCTCCAGAAACCACTGCGGCCCAGCCACCGTTGCCCTTCCAACCCACGGCACCCATAAAGGAGGTGCCTGCTCTCAGCCTCCGTTCCAAATCTGCCTGTCCTGTGTCTTGTGCAGGATTCCTGTTTCTTGGCAACCCCTCCTGGGCCCACCTGGGGCGGATCTGGTCAGGTGCCCACCCGGGGACATCTGTGGGATGAAAGTAAGCCTCGCCCCTCAGGGGTTCTCCCTGTGTTTAGTTGGGCTCCCCCTCAGTTGCTCAGGAAAAATGCTTTTGAAAAAAAAATAGCATCTGCGCTTTAAAGGACTTTCCCCAGCTGTAAGCTAGAAAGAGGGCCAGGACCCAGAACGAGGGCACCGAGGGGAGATGGGGCTCACAGGCCCACGTGGCTTCCTGCATAGAGGGGTCCCTGAGCTTCAGGTTTGGGTGCCCAAGTTGTGATCTGAGCACCTCTAGCCCTGCCTTGGGAAAGTATCCTGGCCAAGACTTGGGCCACTGTCCAGCTGCTGAGCCACTGCGTCTGAGGCCCCAGGCCTCAGTTTCCTCCTTTGTAGGCCAGACTCACCCCCCTCTCTTCCCTCTCAGGCTGTTGTGAGGCCCAAATGGGGCACTTACAACTGAGCTGTGGGACCCAGAACTGCCCGCCCCTCACGCGAGACGTTGTGCTTTCTTAGGGGAGGCAGAGAACCAGGTTGTGCTGCTCCCACAGCCCACTGCAGCTAATGTCAGGGTCACTAGAGCCCAAGGCCGGAGGGTGTCCCGGGGCTGCTGACAGACGGGAAGAGGAGGTGTGCACCCTGGCCCTGCCGACCTTGCTTCAACAGGCTTGGAGGCCAGAGTCCTGCTGGTCAGCGGAAGGAAGAAGCTAGTCCCCGGGCCAGGAACAGGAAGGCAGGGGGAGCGCAGCAGAGGCCAGGATGACAGAGCTTCCTGCTGTAGGAAGGGAAGGACAGTGGAGACAGACAACAGCCAGGCAGGAAGGATGCGCCTTCTTCAGGCTGCAGGAGGGGGCTGGGCAGTCATGGAGCAGCTAGAGGCACAGCCCTCAGGTCCCCATCTGCCCGGCTCCCAAGCACTGGGTTGCACGGTCTTCAGAGAGCCTGTTCTATAAAGGTGAAAGCATCTACTTCAAAGGAACAACCAGCCCTGACAACTCCAACCCAAAGGAAGCCCTCAGGGGTCTGTTTAGCCATCCATCTATCCAACCATCTGTCCTTCCACCCATTCGCCAATCTGTTCATCCAGTCATCCTTCTGCCCCTCTGCCCATCCATCCATTTTTCCATCCATCCATTCAGTCAGTCAGCAAGTATTTGATGAGCCTTTATTCTGTGCCAGGTGCTGGCTGGGCACCAGGTAGAGTGAAAAGAGGACTGTCTTCATCCTTACACCACTGAAACTTACTGCCAATGGAGGACATAGACAAACATAAATAAATAAGATCGTTACAAATTACAACCAGAAGGATAAAGCAAGTGACCCCGAAGCTGGGGTGGAGCCTAAATAGGGAACTTAAGTTTTATAAGGGTGAGGAGGCTGCATCTAAGCTGAGGGCTGGGAATGAGAAGCAGCCAGCAGTGCAGGGCCTCGGAGAGGAGACCTCAGGAAGACAAGGTGTAGGCAAAGGCCTTGGGGTTGGAAGGAACATGGTGTGCTGTAGACAATGTGGAGGAAGTGAACATGAGCTACAAGGAGATCACTCTCCAGAGGCCAGGCCTCCATTGAGAGTTGAGATTTTCCTGATCTTTGACAGTAGGAAGTCACTGACAGGTTGTAAGCATAGTGTGATGTGACCCTTTCGCATTTTAAAAATATCACTCTGCATGGAGGAGGAATAGAGGAGTGCAGGAGCAGCCCCAGGAGCCCACTTTGGGCCCAAATGTAGCTGCGCAGGGCCCCCCCGCAGGAGAGCAGGCGCCAACTCTGGGATGCACTGGGCTTGCTAGGCTTTGTGGGGCTGGATGGGGTGGGGAGATGGGAGCTATCCAGGGAGGAGCCTTTGGCAGGGGAGGAAGTCTGAGCCTGGAGCTCACCATCAGCAACTTGGAACACAGGGTGTCTGCGGGTTGTCCCAGTCCACCAGGCAGCTGCGTATATAAGGCTGAGTGGAGAAAAGTGGTCTGGAGGTAGAGACTGTGAAGCAGTCTGGACCCTTGAGAGAGAATGAGCAGCGACAGGAATTAGTGTTGGGCAAAGGAGGAGGAAGACGAGGGCAGATGGGGTCACAGGAGCCAGCAAGAGGAGAGGACAGCTCTGCTCCTTGACCTTGTGTGGCACGGCGGCCACCAAAGGCTTTGGCTGCCCGCTCGATGAAGTCGGGGTGTACCCCACCTGGGCATGTGAATGTGGGGGAAGGGATAATGAGCAGAGCTCTGGCTACCGAGGCAAAGAGGACAAGGAACAATGGCCAGAGGGAGTATGAGACTAGAGAATTGTTTTGTTTTATAGATTGAAGATGATTCCATGGACAAAGAATGGTAATCAGAAGAGGGAGGAATCATCTATGGGAATCGGATCACGGAGGGTTGGGACCTGAGCAAGATGGAGAGTTTGCCTGGGGAGCAGGAATGTCAGCAGGCCTTGGATGAGGGTCAAGGAGGCATCTCTGTCTGATGTTCCTGTGTTCATGCTGAGAGGGAAGGAGGAGGGAAAACCCTGAAGTGCCTCAGTGGGGGTCTGGATGAAGCCCGCACCCAGGAAGATAAAGAGGAAGCAGCCAGGGTGTGGGGTGTTGTGCTGCACTGCTGAGCTGCTTTCGGACATGATGGCATTGCAGGGCTGCAGTGGAGAGTAAGAGAAAAGAGAGAATCAGAATGATGGACATGGGTTAGCACTGCACAAAGTCAGGGGTGACACTAGCATGGTGTCAATGAGAGCAAGCATTGCAGGGCTTCTGATGTGGCAGAGGGCTTCACAGAGGCCAGACAGCACACCTGAGTGTGAAGGAGGCGACGGGGAGAAGCAGGAAGGCAGGCACTCTCAGTGACGGTGAAGTTTCTGGTGATGACTGTGTCCAGGGTGTGCCCCGGAACCCATGGCTACGGGGGAGTGGAGAGGAAGATCTCAAAGACAAGGGTACCAGGGATTCATCCGTGTGGATGCTGAGGTCATAGAGAATGGCAGGAGTGGGGGAGACAGGAAGCCAGGAGCTACGGTCAGCAGAGAATGAGGGGAAGTGACCAGGAGAGCAGCTGATGACAGCTTTAGTGGGGAGAGGGTGGTGCCACTGAAAGCAGAAGCCTCAAAGGGGTGGTTGGGGGGGCCAAAAGGGGAGCCCAGCAGTAACTGCCCCCCGGCAGTGGTGTCCTTGGAAAGCCAGGTTTCACATAAGACCGAGGGGAACTGGGCAGATGGTCCTGCTTAACGTAAGGGTGTGGATGCTTCCTCTGCGGCGAGAGAAGTGTCAACAAGCTCACATCTCACCCATCCGCCCATCCACCACCCATCTGTCCACTTGTGCACCTGATGTTCCATCATGTACGTCTCCCTTTTCTTACATCCACCCCCTGAATCTTAACCACACATCCCGTTTGGGGCTGAGGAACATGAGAACTGATTAGCATTCCAATCAGGATCCCCAAGGAAGACAAGGCAGAAACTGCCCAGATGATGGCGACTGCTCCACAGGGAAAGGACATGTGGACTAGACCTTCTCAAGAGAGAAACCCAAAGGAGAGAGAAGCTGGAATGTCCCAGGCCCAAGGACAGATGGGCAAAGCAAAGGCTCCAAGATATGAAGAAGCCTGACAGTTCGTGAGGAAGCTGAGAGGTCCTCGGCCTCGCAGGCGTTGACGCTGGAGAAAGGAGGGCCAGAAGGTGGCTGCTTATCTGCTTTATCTTGGAAACAACAGAAAGCCACCAAAGGAAGCCGGCTGACAGCTGCCATCGCTGTGTAGCTGGCCACTGCCAGGGCGTAGAGAGATGAGCACTTCAGAGAGGGGAGCCTCCGAGGTGAACCTCCGAGGTGAGGCGCTCAGCACAGCCCCTGCCTCTCCTCGACGTGGCCCGTCTCCCACAGTGAGGACCCACACTGGGCTGGGCAGGTCAGGGCCTGACCACTGCAGCTCTCCTGTGCTGATGGCCCAGCCCCAGGCCCCACGGGTCCATCAGCAGGGAGGGCACAGGACTGGCCCCCCACAGGCCCAGACCCACTCCCATCACCTCCTCAGTCCTGGGGCTCAGAGCACAGACCGCCATCCCCTCGATCACCCACGCATTTGCTGGCTATCTGCCTGCCGTGGCCTCGGTCGCTTTGACCGCCTGGGGAAAATCTTCCTCTCCTTCAAAGCCCCGCTCAAAGGTGTTGTGCTGGGGATTCCTGCCTAGCCCCTCACTGTCCCAGAGGAGAACCTTATCTCGTGAGACACCCTTGCCTTTGGCGTGATCTTCAGCAGCACAGCATGACCCAGTGCTGCCAAGTGCCTGGCCCTGCAGCTCACATGGGAGGCCTAGCAGGGGAACAGGCAGCAGAGCCCAGAGCCATCTCCCACCTCGGGGCCAGAGCAGTTGGCCTGAGTGCGAGGAAAAGGCACTCTTAGCCCGGGAGGGAGGACTTTGCAGCAGTCCTGCACTGTCCAGGAAAGGAGCTGCCTTCTTAGGGCAGGCCTCAGTTTCCCTGTCTGCAGGTGGGAGTAGATGCCTGAGAAGTGTTTTTCAGCTCTGGTCCGTGGTGCAGTGGTGCCTGGAAGGGTCTGGCACAAGGTGGAGCAGGATGGAAGGAGGGAGAGGCCAGCAGGCTGTGTTATCCGTGTGGTGCTGAATGCCCTTTTGGTATGGAGCGTGCTGTCTTGGTACCACTTGACTGGACAGCTTGGAGTCAGGGTGTGCAGAAGAGCGGATGATAGTGGTCCCTCAGGCTCTGCTGCACTCCGCAAGCTGCCAGACAGGACCCCAGGGCCTTGGGAGCTGGCTGGAGAGCAAAGGACTTGAACTTCGATCCCCTCTGAACCATGAGGGACTCGAAGAGGCTTGAGGCAGGAGAATGGGCTTTGCTGCCCCCCAGGAGGACAGGGACTTGGGGGGAGGGACAGGACACAGCTCCGGGCCTCCAGCCACACAGTCCTCCCTTCCTGTTGTCTCGGGATGGTCCTGGCAGGATGCATCTGCCAGAGTTCCAGGCCCATTCCTCCCCCAAGGCCTGCACCCACCCCCACCAGGGTACCCCCCCACAAGAATGTGTCAGAGACACAAATATGCATGCTTACACACACACTCAAAGAAACACACATCAGAGAGACTCAGATTCACACACCCAGGCCCACAAATACAAACAGATGTGCACACACAGAAGACCCACACCTTTCAACACGTGCAAATACACAACATCCACTCGGAGGATGCTGGGGGTGCGGAGCTGGTGGGCAGCAGGGCAGGGGGCCTGGTCCCAGTCGCCTGTGGTCATGGAGGTGTGCAAACAGGTAAAGCAGCACAACTGTGCACCCGAGGAAGAGGGGAGACCCAGGTGTAGGGAGGCCTGGCCCGTGGAGAAGCAGATGGAGCCATGAGGCAGACTCCCTGGGACACAGGCAGATGGGGCAGGCAGGCTGAGGCTGGGCCTGCTTGGGGAGGGCCTGGGACGTGCAGGGCCACTTCGAAAGCTTGGATGACCTGGCGTTCAGGAGGGTGGGGCTTCAGGAAGAGCTATGGAGCCGCGTGCTTGACCCTCTGCCCGCCAAGGAAGATGCCAGCTGTCCTCTCTACCTCCTTTCTGGCAGCTCCCCTCACTCCGGCCAGAAGTCAGGGTTCAGTCCCTCTCAAGCCCAGAGTCACTTGGAGCTGGGTCAGCTGTGAGCAGGGGCAGCCTGAGGTGGAGCTTACTGGATACCCTGGGGTACACGTGGGGAGACCAGCATGTGCCGAATGAGAGCCACCAGGCTGCTCCTGGCAGGAAGAGGGGGTCCCAGAAGGCCCAACAGTGACTGATGGACACTGTCCTGTGAACTCGGGGTGGCCCAGGGGCACACTAATTCTGTCTCCCGCCTAGGCCTGGTGAGTGGCTACTCCATGACCCCCCCAACCCTGAACATCACAGAAGAGGTACACATCATCAACACCAGTGACAGTCTGGCCATCTCCTGCAGGTACAGGGGCTCTCCATGGGCAGCCCAGGGAGGCCGCAGAAGGCTGAGGAACTTCCTTCCCGAGGCAGAGAGGCCAAGGGGCTCCCAAGGGGGCACCTGGAGGTTCCCAGACACAGGCACCCTCCCCTCACCCACCCACCCACCCGCACCCCAGCCACCCTGCACTGGCCCGGACCAGCTGCCCTCCCTGCCCCAGGAACCAGGCAGAGGTACTGCACCTCGGGCAGGGGCTGTGGAGTGTGCCCTGCACTGTCCTGTCTGCAGTGACAGAGGATGGGCAAAGCTCTTAGCCCTGGAGCAGGCTCCTCGGGGACTGTCCCCTTGGGCTCTGGGGGGGTGCTCCTGACCACTCCCTTTCTCTGCCAGAGGACAGCACCCCCTCGAGTGGGCCTGGCCAGGGGCTCCAGAGGCACCAGCAGCCGGGGGGAAGGAGAGCGAGGACTCGGGGTTTGTGCGAGACTGTGAGGGCACAGACGCCAGGCCCTACTGCAAAGTGCTGCTGCTGAGTGAGACCCACGCCAACGACACGGGCAGCTATTGCTGCTACTACAAGTACATCAATGCCCACATCGAGGGCACCACAGCTGCCAGCACCTACGTGTTCGTGAGAGGTGAGGCGGGCCGTGCGAAGGGGCCGGGCATGGCCAGGCCCCTTGCTGTCCGTGCTCGCCCCCAGCCTGCCCTCTCTGAGTGGCCGGGAGGGAGACGAGGGTCTCGTCCCACCCCTGATGGCAGCAGGCGCGCTGCCCCTAACCCTGGTCGGGCCCCTGAGCCCTGCCTCCCTCCACTCCTGGCCCCTCCTCAGACCACGAGCAGCCGTTCATCAACAAAGCCGACACGCTCCTGATCAGCAGGAAGGAGTCCACGTGGGTGCCCTGCCTGGTGTCCGTCCCCGGCCTCAATGTCACGCTGCACTCGGTACAGTCCCCACCCCAGGCACACCCCTTCTGCCCCATCCCTGGGAAAGGTGGCCACTGGTCTGGCCAGGCAAGCACGGCAGGCACGTCCTGAGGGTCACCGTGTCCCTCCAGCAAAGCTCCGTGCTTCGGCCTGACGGCCACGAGGTGGTGTGGGACGACCGGCAGGGCATGCAGGTGCCCACGGTGCTCCTCCGAGACGCGCTGTACCTGCAGTGCCAGACCAGCTGGGCCGGCCAGGACTTTTACTCCAGCCCCTTCCTCGTGCACATCACAGGTAGGGGCTGATCGGGCTCTGCTGGAGGAGACGGGGCCCCTCCGCATTCCCAGTCATGGGTGCCTCAGGGGCACCGGTGATTTGAGGGCGTCCTGTGCTCTGTGCCCCGGGCTCTTGTGTGGTGGGTGTCCCTGTGCATGTCATGTGAGGGACACGGGAGCCACTGTGTGTGTGTCACCAGGCAATGAGCTCTATGACATCCAGCTGTTCCCCAAGAAGTCCCTGGAGCTGCTGGTTGGGGAGAAGCTAGTCCTGAACTGCACTGTGTGGGCCGAGTTCAACTCGGGTGTCACCTTCGACTGGGACTATCCGGGGAAGCAGGTGAGGGTGGCTGCCCTCCCTGCCAGGGTGCCTTCCTTCTGCCCACAGCTGTCCTTCCCCTCCCCAGGAGTCCCCGTCACCTGTGCCCGGCACACGATGGGCCTTTAGAGAGGAGATCCACACTCAACTGGCCCCAGGAACCCCAGTCTATGGGGAGTTTCCCCCACAGAAAACTGTAGGCTTCCAGAGCTACCGCCGGCTGGGCAGGGTGTGTGCCTCGTGGGTTAGCACTGCCAGAGCCGCCTGCTGACCCTGGGCTTCCCTGGGTGTGGGCAGGCAGAGCGGGGTAAGTGGGTACCCGAGCGGCGCTCCCAGCAGACTCACACAGAGCTCTCCAGCATCCTGACCATCTACAACGTCAGCCACGCTGACCTGGGCCGGTACGTGTGTGAGGCTGACAACGGCATCCAGAAGTTCCGGGAGAGCACAGAGGTCATCGTGCACGGTATGACCACCAGCATGTCCGAGGGTGGTTCCTGGAGAACAGGGGTCCTTGTGTGCTGTGGGCCAGAGGTCACGGCACACCTGCTCAGCAGGGACTCCAGCCAGAGGGAGGGGAGCATGAGAGGAAGCCCCGCCCAGCTCATCTTGCTAGGGCACTGTGGGCCCCGGACTGCTGGTGGCTGGCTTTGGGGCCGCAAGGACCACGGCTAGGGATCCCTGGTCAGTGATGAGCCACCCCAGATTCACACTGATGCCTCCTGTCTGGCAGAAAAGCCCTTCATCAGTGTCGACTGGCTCAAAGGACCAGTCCTGGAAGCCACAGCAGGCGACGAGCTGGTGAAACTGCCTGTGAAGCTGGCAGCGTACCCCGCGCCGGCATTCCAATGGTAACGGTTCGGGCCCCTCCCTGTGCTGCCCCACTAGGCCCAGAGGAGAATGGACCAAAGGGCAAGAAGGACCGAGGGGCAGTGTCCTTCCCCACAGAGCCTTACCCCTGCCACCCAGACAGGGACCTTCCTAAGGAGATCCTCTAAGATCATATGCGTCGTTCAGTGTTTAGCTGGAAGGAAGGTTGGTCTGGGAGAGGTTTACAAGGGGGTGTGGTGGGCGCCACGTGGGCTTTGCTTGCCTGCTATACTGCCCGCTGCTGCACCTGCGTGCTCGGTGCACCTGGGCCTGCAGAGCTCGGTGCTCTCAGTGCCTCCCTGGGGGCTCCCTCGGCCCTTGAAACATCAGGCTGGATATTCATACCTCATGCCTGTGCCCCAGGCCTCCTGAGAGCAGCACGCACTCTGTCCTGGCCCAGCACCCAGAGAAATCTGGTCCTTCCCAGCCCTCTGGCCAGAGCCTGGGCCCTGTCCCTGCCCTTCTCTGTGACCCCAGCAAGTCGCGTCCCTCTCTGAGCCCTGACTGCTGTCAAGCTGAGAGCAGATGATTGCTGTGTCCCTTTCGCACAGGCTTCTGCCCAAGAGACAGCCCTTCCCCAGCCCACACTGCCGTGTGTCTGGCTTAGCACACCCAGCACCCAGAGACGGCTGCCGGAGTCTGGAGCACAGGTTCCAGGCCTTTGGAGATTCCAGTCCCGAACTAGGGAGGAGCCTCTCTGTGGAAGGAGGCACCATCTCCACACACAGCAAGTCTGGGAAGCATCCCCAGGGGTCAGGCCCTGCTCCTCACGTAGGGCACACGGCCCACAGCCCCATGGCAGGACAGACAGTCACATGCCTAAAGACCAGTGTGCTGATGAACAGGACAGCAGGGAGGGCAGGCGGAGCCAGGGGCCATGTTACTAGGATGAGTGAGAGAGGCCTCTCGGACGACCTCAACACTCCACCCCGTGAAGGAGGGAGAGGCCCTGCCAACTGCCACTTGCAGGAAAGAGCATTCCTGCAAGGGCTGCAGCAAGTGCAAAGGTCCTAGGGAGGCCGCATGTCTAGAGAGCTCAAGGAAAGATAGAGCTGGGATCCAGGAGACAGCAGGGGCCGCCTGGCACGGAGAGCCGCTCGGCTGCTCCCGCCTTCACTCTTCGCGCAGCCGGGGCGGCGGGGGGGGGGGGGCCACTGAGGGCAGTGGTTGGGCCCCCGACTCGCGCCAGCCCAGCTGATGTTGAGGAGCAGCCAGGGGAGACCGGGGAGGGGCAGAACCCTTCTGGGCTGGGCCTGGTGAGTCTGGCTGCAGAGGAGCACAGCCTCACTGCTGCCTGGGGGAGATCTGGGCTGCTCTGGGGCGCCTCAGGAACGTCCGAGCCAGCAGCCTGACAGGGTTGTGACCCTCGGCAGGCGGGGCCTCCAGGCCCACTCGAAAGCCTTTGGCCACCTGCTTCCCAGGCCAGAGCCTGCTATGCCACCACATGCCTGCGGGCCCTTCTGGGTCCTCCAGAAGGGACCACTTGCTCTGGCCTCGCCCAAGGCCAGGCCGCTTGGCCTCCACTCCCCTCACTCTCTGGCAGCACATATGGCTTTCCACGTCTGTGGGTCCACCTGACCACAGACAGAAAATACCAGGCAAAGACTGTCCTCACACCGAGCTTGTGCAGACTGCTTGGTACAGTTCCCTGACGCTTTAGCAGAGCAGTAGTTCACACAGCTCTTGCATCGTTTTGCGCATTAGGCCCTCCAGAGATGATCTGTAGTGCGTGAAGGCTCTGCGTAGGTTACACGCACCCACTGCAGCCCTGTACGGGAGGGACTTTTGCATGCAAGGGTCCTGGAGCCATTCTGGTTGGAGGGATGGAGCCACACAGTCCCTGAATCCCCTCCTTGGACCAGGTACAAGGACAGAAAGGCGGTGACTGGGCGCCACAGCCCGCATGCCCTGGTGCTCAAAGAGGTGACCGAGGCCAGCGCGGGCATCTACACCCTCACCTTGTGGAACTCTGCGGCCGGCCTGAGACGCAACATCAGCCTGGAGCTGGTGGTGAACGGTATGGGCCGGGCGCGTGGGAGGGGACGGGAGGCCAAGCAAGCAGGCGGGTGAGGCGGCAGCTCTGGCTGACTGGCCGTGTGCCTGTGCCCTCAGTGCCGCCCCACATCCACGAGAAGGAGGCCTCCTCCCCCAGCACCTACTCCCGCCACAGCCGCCAGGCCCTCACCTGCACAGCCTACGGGGTGCCCCCGCCCCTCAGCGTCCAGTGGCACTGGCGACCCTGGACGCCCTGCAAGACGCTGGCCCAGCACAGCCTGTAAGTGTGACTCGAGCGTCTTTCCTCATTTCACAGTCCTGTTCCCGACCTCAGCCGTGGTGGGCGGACCCCTATCCCAGCCGCTCTGGCTGCCCGGGCTTTGCCCCCACGCCCTTCCTGGGAGCCCTACCCAAAACTCGAGCTTCCCTTTGCTTCTGTTGCCTGGGCTTTTGAGATCTTATTCATAAACCCTTGCTCAGAACAATGCCACGGAGCATTCCCCTGCTTCCTTCAAGGCTTCCACTTAAGTCTAACCTCTTTGGAGCTGACTTTTACAAATCGTGAGAGGGGTCCATCTACTTCCATTCTTCTGCATGTGGATATACATTTTTCTCACCACCACATATTGAAGGGACTGTTCTTTCCCCAGTGTGTCTTCTCAGCACCTTTATTGACAACCAGTTATCTGTAAATGTGTGGATTTATTTCTGGGCTCTGTTCTGTTCAATTGGTCTATGCATCTGCTTTTATACCACTACCACGCTGCTTTGGTTACTGTAGTTCTGTGGTATGTTTCAAAGTCAGGTAGTGTGATGTTCCAGCTTTGTTCCTTTTACTCAGAATTGCTCTGATAGGTAGGGTATTTTGTGATTCCATATGAATTTTAAGACTGTTTTGCTACTGCTCTGAAGAATGTCATTGACATTTTGATAGGAATTGCATGAAATCTGTAGATGGCTTTGAACACTATGAACATATTAACAGTGTTAATTCAGCAGTTCGGCCCTTGCCAATCCCTGGCCTTTCCTGGCCTGGGCAAAGTTCCAACTCTTCCTTATGTCAGTCCTGTGCCAGCAGGACCGGGTGGGCAAGCTGGCTGGGCTAGCCCCACCTTCTTCCCTCAAAAGGGAGACCCTCTAAACACACAATTGGACCACCCAGGGATGATGAAAAAGGGACCTCTGGGCCCCAAGGGTCCCCAGCACCACCAAGAGGGCAGGCCTGGGGTAGACTGCCGAACTTGTGCCGAGTCCCTTTGCACACCAGCCACACGTACTCGGACACCCACGTGCATCGGTACAGCTCTCGGTTCCCCCTTACAGACGAACACACAGGGTCAGAGAAGGGACACAGTTCTCAAGGTCCTAACAGTAAGCAACAAAGCGTGTCCAACTGCAGTCTGTGCCATCCCACCCTGAGCTGGATGTCAACAGGACAGAGAGGCAAGGAAACCACTTAGGGCAGAGAAAACGGGCATAGAAGGGATAGGAGAGGACGGCGCCGTCAGCAGCGGTCTTGGAGACACTGGGGATGACTCTGAGGATGGCCAAGGTTTGACCACTGTGCCCCAGATGGGCCCAACCTGGCCATATCCCTGATCCGCCCTTGTCCTTCCCCCGGCTGCGGCAGCCGACAACACCGGCAGCAACGAGATGGCATGCCACAGTGCCAGGACTGGCGGGAGGTAACCGTGCAGGACGCTGTGAACCCCATCGAGAGCCTGGACACCTGGACCGAGTTTGTGGAGGGAAAGAACAAGGTACAGGCCAGCCAAGCCATCAGGCAGCCAGGGGAGAAGGAGGAGGTTGGAGGGCTGGCTCATGCCTCTCTTCCCACCTGGCCTCCAAAGCTGTGGGGGCAGCAGCTGGGAGCTGGGTGACCTTTCCGCAGGCTCTGGGCCTCAGCTTCCCTGCATGTGAATGAGGGCCAGGCCTCTTGCTGCTCCCCAGACAAGGAAACTGAGGTCTAGTGCCTGCTGGTCAAGCCATGGGCCCCAGGGCGGGAGAGGATGGGGCTGGAGGCCGATCAGGTTTCCACAGGAGGCTGCTGAGCCCGTGGACCAGCCTGGGGGCAATGCTGAGAAAGGCCAGGAGGGGGAAGGGGACTGAACAAAGGCACCCACTTCCTACGGTCACTTCCTGTTTTCCTACACACCTCCAGAGCCCCTTCCTGTTCCAGGCCTGGCCAGGAAGTGCCCGGCTTGGGGTGGGGGTGGGGGGTCTTTGGATGGTAGGCAGGGCCTGGGGCCCTCTCTCCTCCCCTACTTCTCCATTTTCCTACTCCAGAGCCAAAATCTTGTGGAAGCCTAGGAACCCCCTCCCCTCAGACTGTCCTGGACGAGAGCTGCTCCAGGCCCTGGGGCTGATGTGGGCACACAGTGATCAGCCACCAACCTCAGGCCACGGCCTCACCTCAGCTCAAGAGTAGCTGCTCCTTGCTTTTAACCCTAGCTTGGCCTCACCCAGCTGCCAAGCTGGCTCCTGGCCCCTCAGCTATCTGAACCCAGTCGCAGACAGAGTTCTCCCTGGTCCGGCCGAAGCTGTCCTCTGATCTCAGCACAGCCTAGGCCAGATGCCTGTACACTGACCCTTGGCTTTTCTGGGTAGCTGCCCCTCTCTGCTGTGTGGAGACCTCCTCTTCCCTGCTTCACCACCCCGGTCCTGTCTCTGGGCTCGGGTCACTGCCGGCCCAAAGCCTCAGTTTCCCGCATTACTGGTGGGCACAGGGGACTCCTTCCAGGAGGGCAAGGTCCAGATTGGAAGAACTGAGGCGGGAAATGGACATGTGTGCCTGTACCCTGTGCAGACGGTGAGCAAGCTGATGATCCAGGACGCCAATGTGTCTGCCATGTATAAGTGTGTGGTCTTCAACAAGGTGGGCCAGGACGAGCGGCTCATCTACTTCTATGTGACCAGTGAGTAACCAGATCACACCCAAGGAGGGCTACTTTCCCCAGGCAGGCCTGGCTGCAGGGCCAGGAGTCCCAGCAGAGGTGCCCAGCACCCAGGGGCCCCGGGCCTGGGCAGGGTAACCTGTAGAGACTGTCAGCCCATGGAGTGGGTGTCGGTGCACTGGGAAAGCCCCTCTGCCCTCAGCCCTGGAGCAGTGCCCATTGGCTCCTCCTAGCCCGGCCTTCCTCCCACCCCTTCTCAAACTCTGGAGCCATGTGGTTCACTGTGCATTTTGCCCTGGAGAGAATTCCATGGCTTACTCAGATTTCACATGTGTGGGTGACTCAGAAAAGCTAAGAAGCCTGCGAGTGAACACCCACTGGGCCTCAGGGTGTAGACGAGGCAGCTCCAGAGATGGAACTCGAGGGAACACCTGAGGTCAGGGCAGAGCCCACAGGAGCCCGGCAGGAAGTGACCAGAGAAGCAGAAGAAGAGAGAGAGGGTGGCACTGGCAAAAGCCCCTGAAGAAGCTGTTGCACGGAGAGGAGAGCGGTGGGCTGTGGTCAGAAGGAAGAATGAGGACCTAGGTCCGCACTGGGCCTCGGGCCAAGGAGCTCCACAATCTGGGCTCCCTGTCCAGGAGGGACAGAGCAAGTAGGGAGGCAGGAGGAGACCCGGCAGGGCTTCCTGGGAGTGGGGCTACTGTGGGTGCGACGGCTATGGGATGCAGCTCACAGCCGTGGCTCAGAACTGAATGAGTTCTCAGCGATGGGGAGGGCCCCGTGGACAGACAGCAAACCTTTGGGCAGTGTCACAGGGCTTCCCCACTCCCCAGCCATCCCCGACGGCTTCAGTATCGAGGTGGAGCCCTCCGAGGACCCCCTAGAGGGCCAGTCCGTGCGCCTCAGCTGCCGAGCGGACAACTACACGTACGAGCAACTACACTGGTACCGCCTCAACCTGTCCACGCTGCATGATGCTCACGGGAACCCGCTGCTGCTCGACTGCAAGAATGTTCACCTGTACGCCACGCCGCTGGCCGCCAGCCTAGAGGAGGCTGAGCCGGGAGCGCGCCATGCCACACTCAGCCTGAGCATCCCGCGAGTAGCGCCCGAGCACGAGGGCGACTATGTGTGTGAGGTGCAGGACCGGCACAACCAGGACAAGCACTGCCACAAGAAGTACCTGTCGGTGCAGGGTGAGCGCACCAGGCGGCGCGAGGGCCTGCAGGGGGAGCGAGCGAAGGGCGTCCCCTGCTCAGGCCCTCCCTGGAGCACGCATCCTGCAACCCCGCACCCTTGCACCGCGCCCGCTCCTCCCAGCCTTGGGGCGTCGCGTCCTGGGGTGCCCTCTTGCCTCCGCGGGCCACTTCACCTCCTCAACGCCGCCCCCTCAGCCCTGGAAGCCCCCCGGCTGGTGCAGAACTTGACCGACCTCCTGGTGAACGTGAGTGACTCCCTGGAGATGCGGTGCCCAGTGGCGGGAGCACACGTGCCCAGCATCGTGTGGTACAAAGACGAAAAGCTACTGGAGGAAGAGTCCGGTAGGGAGCGACCGCGGCTGCGGGCGGGAGGCCTGGGAGGCCAGCGCCCCTCGACTCACCTGCGCTCCTACCCCATCCGCGTCCGGCAGGAATCGACTTGGCAGACTCGAACCAGAAGCTGAGCATCCAGCGCGTCCGCGAGGAGGACGCTGGCCGCTATCTGTGCAGCGTGTGCAACGCCAAGGGCTGCGTCAACTCCTCCGCCAGCGTGGCCGTGGAAGGTCAGCCCCACCAGACCCCCACACCCTCATGGAGCGCCCCCTTGTGGCCACCTCGCGTGAGCCGTGCCACCACGAGAGGGCGCCTCCCGCAGGCCACAGCCTCACACGCGTGCGTGCGCACACATGCACACGCCCACTTTTGCCCACTCAGGCTCCGAGGATGAAGGCAGCATGGAGATCGTGATCCTCGTCGGCACCGGGGTCATCGCTGTCTTCTTCTGGGTTCTCCTCCTCCTCATCTTCTGTAACATGAGGAGGGTGAGCGCACCTCCCCCTGCCGAGCCTAGCTACAGGGTCTCTTACGCATCTCCCCACCCTGGCCAGAGCAAGGTCCCTATCCTGGTTTCTGTGGCAGCCCTTTCAGGCTCCCTGTCCTTCCGCGCTGGGCTCCAGCACGCACGCAAGTGTTCTCTCTGTTTGCTCCTTCCTTGGTTGAGCGCTCCGAAGCAAGGGTCACCTGTCATGGGCAGTGTCACCTGAGCCATGGTGGCATGGCCACAGCAGTGATCGATCCCCACCCGCCCCAGCCGGCCCACGCGGACGTCAAGACAGGCTACCTGTCCATCATCCTGGACCCAGGGGAGGTGCCCCTGGAGGAGCAGAGCGACTACCTGCCCTACGACGCCAGCCAGTGGGAGTTCCCGCGGGAGCGGCTGCACCTGGGTGAGGCCTGCGGCCCGTGCCTGCCGCGGAAAGCCCTCGGTTCTCAGAACTCTGGCCAGGAAGGCTCCCGTCCCCACCTGGCCCGGCGGGCTCCATCTGGCCTGCGTTCCCAGGCCCAGGTCACTTCCTCTGCCCCGGGCAGGGCGACCCGCGCACCTGTGGAGAGGACGCGGCCTTCCTGTCCTCTCCCCGCGCTCCCGCGCCCTTCCTGCCCGGCGGCGGAGGCTCCCGGCACCGTGCGGCCCTTCCTCCCGCGCCTCCTCCCGCCCCTCCTCCCGCGCCCTGCCGCGCTGCGCAGCTCACCCAGGGAGGACCTCCCGCCCGCAGGCAGAGTCCTTGGCCACGGGGCCTTCGGGAAGGTGGTGGAAGCGTCCGCCTTCGGCATCAGCAAGGGAAGCGGCTGTGACACCGTAGCTGTAAAAATGCTAAAAGGTGCGAGGTCGCGGGGTGAGGAGGGGCGGGACTGCGAACAGGAAGGGAAACTGAGGCCCAGAACTAGCATCTCCCCTAGCGTCCACAGAGGACGGCAGGAAGCGGACCTAGGCTTCTGCCTGCACCCCTGCCTAGCGGGACCAGCAGGATGCGAGGGGACCGTGCGCCCTCCCCGCAGGGAGGGAAGCAGAAGTGGGCAGGACGGAGAGGAGGCACAGGCCGGGCCCACACGAGGCCTCTGTGTCCCCTCCAGAGGGCGCCACAGCCAGCGAGCACCGTGCGCTGATGTCCGAGCTCAAGATCCTGATCCACATCGGTCACCACCTCAACGTGGTCAACCTGCTGGGGGCGTGCACCAAGCCCAATGGTACTGGCTGGTGCCCTGCGGAGCCCCGCGCCTCCGGGTGGGAGGGGCCCACGATGCGGACCAGAGCAGAGGGCTGCGGGGAGTGCCCCCCACCCCGCTCCTCACCCCCGCCGCTGGCTCTGCCCGCCCCAGGCCCCCTCATGGTGATCGTGGAGTATTGCAAGTACGGCAACCTCTCCAACTTTCTGCGCGTCAAGCGCGAGGCCTTCAGCCCCTGCGCGGTAGGCGGCGCCTCTGCTGGGCTGGGCGGGGGCGCCCCTGCCGTGGGAGACGGCCCTGGACCCACCGGTGCCTCTCCGCAGAAGTCTCCCGCGCAGCGCAGGCGCGTCCGCGCCATGGTGGAGGGCCCCGAGGCTGATCCAAGGAGGACAGCAAGCAGCGAGCAGGCCCTGCTCACCCGGCTCCTGATGGGCAAGGGAGGGGCGGGGCGCGCTCCTGCTGTCCAAGAAGGTAAGAGCCCGCCTCCTCCTGACCACCGGCGGACTGCAGAGCGCACCTCCGGATCAGCACCCCGGGATAATCCGGCCTCGGGGAGGGGCTGCCTCAGGAAGGGCATCGTGGAGTTTTCAGAGATGTCTGACAGTTGACCTGGGAATCATAGGATGAACAGGAGTTTGCCTGCAGACAAGGCGAGGGAGCGGTCCAGGGCCTATAGCAGGTGCAGAGGCCCCGCGGTACCGCAGTCTGCTGCTCTAGGAGTAGTGAGTGCGTGTCCCAGAGAGAGCGGAGGCCGAAGGACAGGGAGAGGCGAGGGGCTAAGTCAGGAGAATGCTCCTAAGTCCACGCCCTCCTTTGTGCAGCTGAGGACCTGTGGCTGAGCCCACTGACCATGGAGGACCTTATCTGCTACAGCTTCCAGGTGGCCAGGGGGATGGAGTTCCTGGCCTCCCGCAAGGTGGGTCCCCCCCAGGCCCCACAGGGTCATTTAAGGGGCCCGTATGCGTAGGCTTGCTTGGTTCTGACTTCACCCCACCGCAGCCCTGGGGTCAGTCACTGTGGCTCCCATTTTGCAGAGGAGGAAGCTGAGCCCAGAGCGGGGAGTTCCCCTCCTGGGGCTTCCTGGCCAGTCAGGGCCAGGCCGGATGCGGGATCAGTGTGGCTGCCTCCCGGAGTTTCTCTGCTGGGGACACACACAGATCTCCCCTGACAGAACAGGACGCAGGCATCCTCTGGGGCACACTGGCGCTCAGGCCTGGGTGTTCCTGGGGCCTGGGCTAAGCAGCCGCTGCCTTCCTGCCCCAGTGCATCCACAGAGACCTGGCTGCTCGGAACATCTTGCTGTCAGAAAGTGATGTAGTGAAGATTTGCGACTTTGGCCTTGCCCGAGACATCTACAAAGACCCCGACTATGTCCGCAAGGGCAGTGTGAGTGCAGGCCGCCAGGAGGGGCCGCGGGGCTGGGTGACTGGGGAGGTGAGACCACAGACTTCCTGGCCAGGAGCAGGGGGCTCTGCCAGCCCAGCTTCCTACCCGCCCAGCTGCTGGGCATCTCGGGCAGCCTAGGGACCCTACCCCTGAGGTCGCATGGGGAAGAGAGCGAAGACAGTGCCCCATGCCTGTCCCTTGGGTGGACACGGACGCCTGTGCCTGCTGTCTCAGGCCCGGGCGTGCAGAAGCACACATCTGTGCCCATAGCTAACACTCAGGGCAGTGTCCGTTTGGGCATCCATGGCTGATGAGGGGTTTATCCCAGCAAGGGCAGGGAGAGGCCTGAAGGGTCCACATGCCGTGTGATGGCCACCCTGCCCAGCGTGGCCTCTGTGGAAGGCTTGACCCTCATCCCGCCTTGCAGGTGGAGGTGAGGGTCAGGTGTGCACTTAGAGAATCCCCTATGTCACCTGGAAGGAAAGGAAACCAGGACCTGGACCGGGGCAGAGGCCGGTCTCAGAGGGCTGTGTCCCTCACAGCTCCCAGGTGGAAGTCAGGAGAGGGAGAGACAGAGGGAAGAAGCCTCCGAAGCCCCAGGAGGATCACTGTGCTGCTGGTGTGGGACGCAGGGTGGGTGGAGGTGGGGAGGGTGTGCAGGGGGGCCTCGCCCCAGGGCTGGGTCTGGGCCATGCCGGAAGCTCCCCAAGGACAGCTCAGGGCCCACAAGGGAGCTGACAGGCACAGAACAGCAGCAGGGAGGAGCCTCGAGCCGGTGCCCGGCCTCCTCTTCCCTGCTAATGGAGCCCACGCCTGCCTCCCCAGGCCCGGCTGCCGCTGAAGTGGATGGCGCCCGAAAGCATCTTTGACAAGGTGTACACCACACAGAGCGACGTCTGGTCCTTCGGGGTACTGCTCTGGGAGATCTTCTCCCTGGGTGAGTGGGTGCAGGCCAGGCTCCCTGCTGGCCCAGGGCTGGGCGCCTGGAGCAAGCAGCCAGGTCGTTCTGCGGCAGATGGTTGTCATGGGCACCGCAGGACCACCTCAGGCCGGGGCCGGGGCCGGGGCCGGGGCCATGCCTGGGCCCTTGCAGCCGCCCCAGCACCAAGGGTCCGTTCAGTGAAGACACCTGCTTATGCAAGGGGCACATGGGAGAGAACATGACAGTCAGGAGTCCATGCTAGGATGCAGGAGCAGTGAATGAAGAGTAAAGTTCCACAGAATGGCAGTGAAAGTGAATGCTGTTAGTGAAGACAGAAATGCTGAAGGAGTCTAGGAACTTGGGGCTGTTTGCTAGCCAGAGGGACTGGGAGCTGGGAGTGCAGCGAGCAGGAGAGGGTGTGCTCAGCACACAGGAGCCCTGGGCTGGATCCTCAGCACCTCGGGAAGGAAGAAAGGGAGGAGTAGGGAGAAGCAGGTGGGCCTGGCAGGACTGCAGTCCCGTGAGGGAAGTGGGCAGGGTGTGGCCGGGGCGGGGGTCCACGCAGTGGGAGGGAGGAGAGGCTTAGTTCTGTGCAGTCCCGCCAGCCCCGGGGAACTGGTAACGGTGACTTCGCTGCAGAAGGAAGAGGGCCTGCGCTGCTCAGGCCGCAGTGGGCAGCAAGGTAGACCCTGTCTTTACTGTGCCTCTGCCGTGGGGAAGAAGAGGAAGCAAGGAGGGGACAGGACAAGGGTGATGGGCAGCCGTTGCACCCACAGCACCCCTTCCTGCTGCAGGGGCCGCCCCGTACCCAGGTGTGCAGATCAATGAGGACTTCTGCCAGCGGCTGAAAGAGGGCACCCGGATGAGAGCCCCAGAACTGGCCACTCCCGCCATGTGAGTGCCCTGGTGGTGTGCAGGTGCGGGGGACACGGGGACAGGCACATGGCCGGGGCTCTGTGGCCACGAGAAGAGGCATCTGAGCCAGAGAGTCCCCGGGGACAGCGTCCCCAGGAGTGGGCCCAGAGGTGACACTCAGAAAGAGGCCGTTAGAGAGCAGCTCTAGACAGGGATGGCTCATGCCCAGCCTGGAGGAGGAGGGCAGTGCGTGTAAGGGACCAGCTCAGTCTGTTTTGTTTTCCTTTTAAAAATACCTGATGTGAGGCCGGGGATGTAGCTCAGTGGCACCACACCTGCCCCGCAAGCGCAAGGTCCTGAGTTTGATCCCTGGTACAAAAAAAAAAAACCCAAAGCTGGGTACTTTATAAAGAGAAGAGGTTTGCTTGCTCAGCACAGTTTTAGGGGTCCGGGAGCGTGGCACTAGCACCCGCCTGGCTCTGGAGTGGGCCTTCGGTGACATCACAGTATGTCAGACAGCACCACGGCGGGGTGCATGACAGAGGGAGAGATCACACGGAGAGGCGGAAGGGTACAGACTGGGAGGAACCAGCTCTGTAAAACCTGCTCTCAGCAGGACCCACTCACTCCACTCAGGACCGGTTACCCAGGCTGGGCTCCAGCTCTGAAAGGTCCGACCGCACTAGGACCAGCCTTCAGCAGAGGAGCCCCGGGGGATCACACTCAGCCCACATCCAAACCATTTCCTGGAGCCAGGGAGGCAGCAGGGCGGGACTGGCTGGAGGGAGGGTCAGCAGCCTGCTTCCCCCGCAGACGCCGCATCATGCTGAGCTGTTGGTCTGGAGACCCCAAGGCGAGGCCTGCTTTCTCGGAGCTGGTGGAGACCCTGGGCGACCTGCTCTTGGGAGGGGGCCAGCAGGTGAGCCCCAGCTCTGCCCTCCCTGGGCCCTGCCCTGGTGTGCCCGGGTCCTGCTCACCTCTCAGCTACTGGGCAAGGCCAGGTGTGACTGGACCCAGGCCCCTGGCCTCCCACCCTCTACCCCTGCCCCCCTGCTGCACTCAGATGCAGAGGGGTCTTCTGCTGCCACAACAGAGGCAGCTGCCCTGGCATTATCCTACTCCTCAGGACACCCCAGGTGGTCCTCCCAGGGCCCGTGGGGCAGCCCATCTCCTGGCACAGCGCTGGGTTTCTTCCCTTCCTCCCACCCGCGGAGCACACTGGCCCCAGACCTGTGCATCCTGCACCTCCCTCCCAGTGGTGCTCTGCACCCTGGAAGCAGCCTGCACCTGAGTCACACCCTGAACCCAAGCCTCAGGGGCTGGGAGGGGAGTGTGGGACCAGTTCCCTCAAAGAAAAGGCAGCGGCCTCTAACTGGTCCCAGAGCTGCACCCAGAGGACCGGAAAGAGGATGCTCCCGAGCCTGGCCCACCCATCCGCCTGTCTACAGCAGGCCCGGGTAGGGGGGCGGCTGGGAGAGTCGGACAAGGCGGGACCACGGGCTGTCAACACCCTGAGCTGGGCCCGCCCCAAGCACTGACTCACACAGCTCAGCCGGACCCCACTCCAGAGTCGGGCTCGAGCAGTCCTGCATGCAGAGGCAGGGGCTGAGGGGCAGGACACCAGGCAGCCACCTCTCCCATTGCTGCTAGGAGGAAGATGAGGACTACATGGCCCAGTGCGACTCTCAGAGCTCAGAGGACGGCAGCTTCCTGCAGGCATCCACCACAGCCCTGCACGCTGCTGAGGCAGATGCTGAGGGCAGCCCGCCACGCAGCATGCACTGCCACAGCCTGGCTGCCAGGTCAGCCACGCTCCCCAGGTCAGGACTGGGCGAGGGGCAGGATCAGTCTGGAGCCAGCTCTCTTATCCTCTTCAGTCATCAAGGAGAAACACCTGACAGCAGCTTGAGAAGCATCTGGATGCCAGAGCGATTGAACTGGCTCACTGGGCACACAGGCCCAAACGGCTGTGGATCTTCCCCAAGACCACGTGGCCTCCCAGCTGTGCTTTCCTTACGGCATCCTTGGTCCTTCACGCTGAGCACCAGTGTTTTAGTCCATTTTCCATTGCTTAACAAAATACCAGAGGCTGACACCCTAGAAAGAAGAGTCACCTAGCTCATAGCCCTGGAGGCTCAGAGCACAGCCTGGCCTCTCTTCGGCTCTGAGCGGAGTCTCATGTCAGCTGGCATCACAACACCAGGAGCCCGTGCATATGTAGGACAGGAAACCAGAGGTTCAGGGGCCTGGATGGTTTGTTTTGTAGCTCACTCCCTTGATTGGACAGAGTCCCAAGGAGCGACATGAATCCCTCCCAGGCAGGGAGCCCCCATGACTTAGTTACCAGGCGTTTACTGTGCGTGAGGCCCCAACATCGCAAGCTGGAGACAGGGCTTCCTGCTCAGAACCTCGGGGCACACTCAGCACGTGCAAGCCACAACTCCCTCCAGCTCTTACACTGTTGGCCCCCCAAGAACTGCCCACCTCAGTTCCAGAAGAATGCCTGCTGGGGGTCTTGCATTTGGGCCAAGACTTCCCAGCGCCTGATTGAGCTCCTGAGCAAACCCCAGGAGCAGGGCCTTCCTGGAGGGGTTGGACCGATGGGGGGCAGCCTTGGGAGGGCTGAGGTGCACTTCTCCAAGCACCCACTGTTTCTCCCTGCAGATACTACAATTGTGTGTCCTTTCCTGGATGCCTGGCCAGGGGGACTCAGACCCAGGGTCCCTCTAGGATGAAGACGTTTGAAGAATTTCCGATGACCCCGACCACCTACAAAGCCCCTGTGGTAAGGACCGGGTGGGGAGGGGCCACACCTCAGATCAGTGGGCAGGGCACCCTGGGGGAGGCAGGCATCACAGTCCTAAGGCCAGTGGCAGAAATCAACTGAAGCCGTTCTTGCTTTGATGAATGTGTCAATTGTGTGTATTAGTGGAGTTTGGTGTGACATTTCACCACATGCATATGGTGTGCCCTTATGGAATCCACCCTTCACCCACCCTCCTGACTCCTCCAACCTCTAGTGATCCTGCTCTGCTTTCAGGGCAACATGCTTTAGCTGCTGCCTGTGAGAGAGACAAAGCAGTGCTTGCCTTTCTGGGTCTTGCTTATTTCACTTCCGGTTCCATCCACGCTGCTACAAAGAACAAAATTTCTTTCCTTATGTATGTCTGGATAATACTCCAAACATGCATTCCATGTTTGCTTAATCCAGTCCTCCATTTGCATATCTTACTGTGAGTAGTGCTGACTCAAAAAAGCAAAAATAAAAAGGGCTGGGAAGTAGCTGAGCATGAAGGGCCTAGGTTCAGTCCCTAGCCCAAGCAAAAGAAAGAAAGGAGGAAAGAATGAAGGAGGAGGAAAGGAAGGAGGGAGGGAGGGCCGAGCTTGGGTGCACAGGTCTCCTTGGTGGAGTCTGTAGGAAATGGCGAGGTCAGGGGGACCTCCAGGCATTCAGGGCCCAGGCGCTCCTGTGACACCCCTGTGCACTGCTCTTGCCCTGTCCTGTCACTGTCGAGCAGGACCCCCCCCCCCGCAGCAGTGTAGAAACCCGCTGGAAAGACAGCCACCGCCTGCACAGTTACAGAGGTAGCAGCCCCAGTTAGCAGGGAGGGTGGGCCATGGGGAGCAGGAAAGCTGCAGGTGTCCGCCCAGGTGGTGATGCCTGTGTCCTCAGTGCAGGTCCACACACCCCAGCTCAGCTTGTGAGGCTGCAAAGTGTGGCCTGCGCTAAGGAGGAGCCCGAGGCCAGGCCTGAGCCCTGGCAACTTCAGGCGGGAGTCGTGTTGGGACTGCCAGGTGGGGCTGGGGTCTCTGGCTGGGCGGAGAGCTCTGACCCACGCAGCTGGGCTGGCTGCTCAGCACGGACCCGGCTGTGTCTCATGGGCCAGATGAAGATGTTGGGGTCCCAAGCTCTGAGAAGACTGCAGTTGCCCTCTATGGGATTCAGAATGAAAACTGTACAAGCCACACTCAGGGAAACAAAGCCCCACCAAACCCAGGACGTCTCCAGGGTGTCCCTTGTCCAGCTCAGTTCCCATGGGAATGGGATTAGGCCCCCGGCAGCCACAGCCCTGGTTGGTTCCCCTCGCAGGATAACCAGACGGACAGCGGGATGGTGCTGGCCTCTGAGGAGTTTGAACAGATAGAGAGCAGGCACGGGCAGGAAGCGGGCTTCAGGTAAGCACTCCCCAGCCTCCCCCCCCCTGCAGAGGGGCCGCTGCCCTCCCTGCAAGGGCTGGGTGCACCCACCCCTCTCACGGCAGCTCCCTGTCCCCTCTGTGTGTGTTCAAGGCGAGCTGCTGAGACTCACAGCCTTTGGCATCCAGCCCCCCCCCCCATGCACATGCGTGCACACACACATTATCAGGCTGACCCAGCAGCACCTGCTAGGGTGTCGTTCCCACTCTGCCTCTCACCTGACAAGGGCTCGCCAGGAAGCGTACACACCCATCCCGGCCGAGCGGGCCACCCCTGCCCCTCCGCTGTTGGCCCAGTGCCCACTGAAGCCAGGCAGACGTGACCTGAGCCGCTGCTCAGGAAGCCTCCCGTGTGCCAGTAGAGGGTGGCCTGGGCAGGTGATTCCATCTGCCCAGCAAGACAGCCAGCAGGAGGAGAAAAGTTTGGACCACGCAAATGGACTTTTACAAGTGTAGATAAAAGAGCTAAATGTCTGCTTAAAACATTCACTTTACTTGTTTTATTCTATTTTTTTATTTTGAGGTATTGGGGGTTGAACCCAAGGCTTTCACACTGAGCTGCATCCCCTGCCCTTTATATTTTTTATTTTGAGATGGGGTGCCACGGGCCACGTGGTTGAGGGGTTCTCAGAGTGAGAAACCAGGTGGGAGATTAAGAAAGACAAAGACACATAAGGTGTAGGTGGGGCCGGGGGCTCTAACTCCTGATGGGAGGGAAAGACCCCAGGTAGGGGTTTATTTATAGTGGTAGAGATAAGGAAAGTGCAGGGAAGGTGCAGGGCTGGTCTGTAACCCGAGCTAGGAGGGTAGCTATGGTCTGCTGGACCTCAGGCTTGGTTTTCTGGTGAATGGGCAGGGCGGAAGGCAGAGCTCTTCTTGGCCAGGCCCTGCTCCACCTCGCCCTCTTGTTCTCCTGCCTCGGGGCCCTGCGTCTGCTGGAGGAGGTGAGTTAGGCCTGGCTCTACTGACCTACAGGCAGCGCTCCCTGCGATGGGGTCTCACCAAGTGACTATGTAGCCCAGGCTTGGACTTTGATCTCCCTGCCTCAGCCTGGGAGATTACGGGTGTGCACCACCACGCCTGGCTAACACGTTTGCTTCATTAGTTTACGTATACCTGTCCAAATGACAGGATCTCTGATAATTGTGTAAGACACTGGCCTTTCCCACTTTCTTCAGACTGCTGTATGCAGACCTGCCCCTCACACCCTGAACATTAGTGGTGCCCCCATCAGGAGCTTCTTTCCAGGCCAAATCCCTCGCCCATTTTTGAGTCAATAGATGATGTCTCTATTTTACTGTAAACCATAGGTATTTGTATAACACTGGGATAGTCAGTGTCATTTTTACCTTTCTTACAGGTATATTTATGATCTGTACAGTTTACCAAGTACAGGTGGAATATCTCTTATCTAAAATTCTTGGGACCAGAAGTGTTTCAGATTTCAAAGGGGTTTTTTGAATTTTGGAATATTTACATAGACTTTACCAGTTGAGCAACTTTAATCTGAAAATTCCAAATCTGGTTCTCCAGAATTTCAGATTTCAGAGACTTTTGGATTCCCTAAGAAGGGTCCTACAAGTATATTTTAATTCTCATTTAATTAGGAAGATGGGATACTTCCCCATGCCTTTGCTATTAAAATACTAAACTTTAGCTGGATGTGGTGGCGCATTCCTATAATTCCAGCACTCAGGAGGCTGAGTCAGGAGGATTGCTGCGAGTTCTAGTCCAAGGTCAGCCTGAACTACATAGCGAGAGCCTGTCTCAAAAGAAAAAGAAAAATTACAAAAGCTGAAGATGGAGCAGGGTCTTGTGATCAGAAAGGTGGGCGGAGTTGGAGCGGGAAGCTTGGGTGTCTTTCCAAGAGCGAGAGGTGGCCGCTGGAGGAGCCCTAAAGTCACACTCGGCGTAGTGGTGTCTGCGAGAGGGAGAGGGAGCGAGGGAAGGCGGGAGTACAGGGGTGGGGCGCTGCAGAGCCTCCAGTGACGCAGCTCAGCAGTGGGGTGGCCGGCGGGAGGCCTGAGTGATGCACGCAGATGCGGGCAGGGGCGGCGCTGCTTCCGACAGGACAGCGGACAGGAAGGGCCCGCTGCACCTGCACCTCCCAGGCTTAGGGTGTGGGACGGAGGCTCCCGAAGATCGGGTTCCGTGGCGGTGGGAGCGGATGCAGAGTTGAGAACGCTCTCAGGCGCTGCGCCTCAAAGGGACCAACGGACGGCAGAGGGCGCTACTCCTCACGCGGTCCGCGCCCGGGGCGCCCCCTCGGCCCGGGAAGCGGCTGGGGTTGCCCCGCGTGCCCGCTGCGCAGGGCCAGGTTTCTGAGCGGCTGTGGGCTCCACCTGTGCCTTTGGCGATTCCGATCGCACGCGGGCCCGTGCTCTGTCTTCTGTCTTCCTCACACCGCCCTCCTTGTCTCCGCAGCTGTAAAGGACCTGGCCAGGAGGAGGAGGGGACTGGGGCGCGCGCTGACCCCCAGGGGAGGCGGCGTCGGCCGGACCTGGGAGCCCGAGGCGGCCAGGTGTTTTACAACAGCGAGTACGGGGAGCTCCGCCGGCCGCAGGAGGAGGGCGCCTGGGCTCCGCCTCCCGGGCCCTTCCGCGCAGACGGCAGCTACTGAGGCCGACCCTGGGCTTGGGCAGCTGGGGCGGGGACACCCCTGGCGGGCCGAGCGGAGGGCTGGAGGCCAGGCTGGAGCTGGTCTCCTTCAGCTCAGCCCGGCCCGGCCGGAGGAACGTCCTTCCTCTCTGCAGCCTCTCGTTAGAAGAGCGGGACTCCAGGCTCAAGGGCTCCCAAACTGTCTCGGCGCCTGTCGTGGGCCACTGCTCTTCAGACACCCGGCCCCTTTTCAGATTCAGATGCCATTTATCCAGTGTCCGCAGGCGCTGGCCCCGGGCTGGCCACTCCCAGGACACCGGGCAGGTGACGCGGGAACGCCTGCGTCCGAGAGTCGCACGCGGCGGAGGTGCAGCTCCGTTCGCCCCAATTCCAGGCCAAAGCGCGGTCCCGCCGCGTCAGCCCCCTTCCTCGGGGCAAGGGCTTTCTCCTCCCCGGAGCTGAAGAGAGCGCAGGAGGACCTGAGGCTGGGTTGCTCTCCGGCACCAGAGGGGGCGGAGCCGGCCTCGAGTGCGGAGAACCATCCCCGCCCGACTTCCGCTAGGACTTCAGGACCTCTGCGCGGCTGTCATGAATTCTCTTTGCAAAACTTCAAACTGGAAAGGAGTCCGGTTTTTGTTTTGTTGCGGAAACTAGGCAGTTCTCGGCTGAGGCGCTGCAGTCCCCGTGACCTGTTTCTCCCGAGAAGACGCCCAGCCCCACGGGCCCGGTCCGGAACCCGAAGGACCAGCCCTCTGGCTCTCCACCCCAGATGCCTCCGAGACTTGAGCGCCGCAGCCGCCGTTCCTGGGGTCCGGGAGGACCTGCCCGCCCTCCCTCCGCCTCCCCTCCGTGCCGATGCGACGCCGGCACTTCTGTGCTCACGGGGGAGCACCCGCCCCCGGGCTGGAATCGTTCTGCCCAGACCCCACCCAGCTCCCACTGCCCGCCCGCCCTGCCAAGAGAAAGACCCTCGTCCTGGTTAGCCTCACAGACTGCAGCCCCAGCCCAGCCCGGACGCTTGCAGGACAGGCGGCCGTGAGGCGAGCGGGCCTTGGCTGCAGGCCCTCCCCACAGCACCGACCTCGAGACGCGGCGGCGCGTGTGCCCGGTCCTCGCTGGCCCGACCTCCTCCCTCTGCGCGGCATCCGGCTGCGGCTCGGCCAGGGCAAGTCCTGAGACGCGAGGCGGTGCGGACCCCAGCTCGGTGTGCACCTCCGGAGGGCTGGAGCCCCTCTTCCTGTCCTGCAGCTGCACGCACAACGCTGTGCTGGGGAAGAACGCCCACTGTGCCCTAGTAGACATGTCCTCTGGAAGATCTACATATTTAACAAAAGATAATAATAAATCAATGCCAGTCTTCGAGTTTCAACGAGTGGATTCTGCGTGAAGTCTCGGTTGTCTGAAACTGATCCTAACCTTCCGGGCCACAGCGGCGAGGAGCGGTCCCCGAGGCGGCCGGCAGGGGGCGCGCGCCGCCCCGCTTACCCCGGCTCCTGCTTGCTGCTGTCTGCTTCCGTGGCCTGTCTGCTCCTCAGTACCGAAGACCCCGCACCGAGCGCCCGCGCACCCTGCACCGTGACCGCCTGAGCTCGGCCACTCCCTGGGTGCGCCGCCCTCTCGGGTGCGGCGGCGGGGTGTCCCGGTGCCGCGGCTGCTCTCATCGGCGAGCCCTGCGGAAGACTCCCCAGGCCGCGCTCACGTCCCTGGGTCCCGTCCCTCCTGAGCCCCACGTTCCCGCACATTTGTCAGCCCCTAAGGTCGCCTTTGGGGCCAGCGGCGCCCTTGAGTGTCATTCCATCCTGGTCGCTGGCCCTCAGCATCCAGGGCTGCCGAGGCGGAGGGCTGCGCTTCTGGGTGCGACCCTGACCCCGGGCTCCGGGGGAAGCAGGAAGCTGGGCATCCGAGGCAGCACCTGAGCCCGGCGACAAGGGGTTGTGTCTGCACTGTCCGCGGAGCCGCAGCCTCTCCTCTGTGACTTCCACTTTGCAAAGCCTTGGTGGCAGCAGTCACAACGCCCACAATGTCCCTGGCATGACCACTCCATGAGGGAAGAAGCCTTCGCCCCCACTGCTCTGTGCCCACGGCGGCATCTGACACCCACTCCTGAGCCACCCGCCCAACTGTGCCCCACTGCACATCCTCCCACCCCCGACTGCCATCTGCACCCGAAAGGCAAGGGGGTGGCATCGCCAGGGCGGGCCCGTGGGGTAATGAAGTCGGACGGGGTCAGTTCCCGGCAAGAAGTCGGGGACCCGCTGTCCTCAGCCTACCCACGAGGGCACGGGAGGAGTCTCATGTCCGGAGGCAGAGCTGAGCCCTCACCAGACACGGGTCTGCTGGGCCTGGATCTTGGACTGCCCAGCCTCCACACTGTGGAAATGAACATGAGCGACCGAAGCCCATGAAGCCGCCATTCCCCATGCCTCCATCTGTGGCAGAACAAAAAGGCTTTGGGGATGGCAGGGAGTGCGTGCATCTCTGACAGGGAGGGACCGGTCTGCAGTCTGGGCTCAGATGTTCCCCGGGCCTGTCCACCAACCAGTCTCACCCGGCAGACAGCAGCTCCCAGTCCTGGGCATGGAGGCAGCGCAGGGCAACGTCGGTTCCAGTCCCACAGGGGTGCCAGGCATGGGAGGTCCTGGGGACCATACAGACCCCTGGCCAAAGCTCGGGAGGTCATTGATGAGCCCGACTTTCTTATGAGTGAACAGAACGCCCCCACCCCCAGTGCCATTCCTTTAGGGAACCGCTACCCAGGCGCCTTTGTTCTAGGCTGAGCAGGGATCCCCCTCAGCCCAGGCAGAAACTGGAAAACTGGGCCTAATTATGCACCATGTTTCCTTGGCCACTGCGCCTATGGTAAGCACAGCTTTTATTCATCGGGA